TTTGTTTTTGTATTGTTGCCATCAAGTCTGCTAGGCTGTAGTTTGATTTGCCGCTTCTCGTTTCCATTCTTTACATTTTTTTTATCCCACTTCTGACACCAATTTGTTACGTCTCCGTTTGTTAATTGATTTTCCGTAACTTCGTTCCGACGAAACTTAAGCGACACAAGTTCTTTCTTAATAAAACTGGTTTATTCTTTCCGAATATAACTTTACCGATACACTTAACTTCAACAATCGCGCTAAAACAAACGCTAATCAACGAACGTCAACAATACTTCTGACTGCAGTTTAATTACTCACTATCTACCCACACATTACATTCCCGCGTCACGTTGTCCCCTCTTATATATACCCGCCTACCCTATATCTAGTAAGAACTAGAACATTCGCCAAAGTACAGGATAATTCTAGAAAGTAGAGAGCGTGAAAATCACATGATCTCGATGACGCAACAATATATTCTGACTACACTTTCGATCTTTGGCACTGTCTCTTCAATTCTGGCCTGGTTATTAGGGCACTCGACTCGCAGTCTGTAGGTCACGAGTTCTAATACCGTCAGCAAACATGTTTGCCCTTTCAGCTGTGTGGGGGTATAATATGACAGTCGGTTCTACTATTCGTAAAGAGTGGCCCAAGAGTTTGTAGTGAGTAATGTTAACTATCTGTTTTCCATCTAATCTATCACTTCAAAATTAGGCTTCGATCGAGTAGTTTTTCATAAATTGAACAGATAAACAAATAAAATCTTCAATGCAAACTAAGATAACAAAACTAAAACAGTGCAAGTGTAAAGTTGCTGAGTGTGGAAAAAAAATAAAAAGGAAAAATTCTAATAATATATTTAACCAAAAGAATGTGAAAAATGCCAATACGCATTTCAAGTGTAAGGTAGGCAAGTTACAAATGTATGTTTATTCAACCAGTCAAATAACAAACCCTTTACGTTTTTGTTTTTAACACAAATATTTCTATTGTATTAAATTCTGCTTTATATTAGGTATCACATTTTATTAATGAATGTTATAACAGATCGCTGATTATGAAATTCCTAAACGTTTCAGAGGGTCGCCCATTGGATCAGTGGTAAGTTTACGGACTTACGACGCTAAAATTCAGGGTTCAATTTCCGCTATGGTCAGAATACATACAATCCATTGTATAGCTTGGCGCTTAACACAAACAAACCATTGTATAGTGTTACGACAGCAGAAGTCACGTGACTCTGATAACACGTCATGAGTTTCTAGAAGGATCATGACTGTTCCTGGCAACTCTAGTGTTTGTCAGACGCCCTCTATTTTCTATATAAGCCCGGCAAATAAAGCGGAGAATAATTGCAGATAGACAGATATAGAGACAGATAATGGAGTCAAGTGAGCGGTAGTGACCATAAGAAAAGTGCGTGAATCGTTGTGAATTATAGCCTGTGTTTAAGTTAAAGTGACTGTGGAAATTCTGCGTATTGCAAAGTTGTATTGAGAAAGAATAAACTATTTTTATTTAAAGAAAGGACTTGTATCGCTGAAGTTCCTCGGGAAGAATTTATACCGGAAATTAACAAACGACCAGAGACGTAACAATAGCTTTGTATTAAGAAAACAACGACAGGGGCAATTATATAGTGATGTTTTTAACTATTGTCATGACGTTTCTTCTCCTTTTTTCAATAAAAAAAAATTTGATTTGGGTGACACACGATTATAGATTTAAAGACCTCTCGTGAGCTTGCAAAAGCTATTTTTTGAATTTTTGTTTTTATATTTATGAATTTAAGAAAAACGTGATTTTAACTAATAACAGTAATTACTGTTAATACAGTTTTGATTATTCATGCTCAGTTTTGGTTTTCACAGGGAACAAATTTTAATTTTTAACAATCATCTAACCTCCATCCTAATATTTCATTTTAATATAAACTGATATAGAGCTGAATAATGACAGTAACTAAAAACTAATAGAAAATATTTTCAGAGTATTTCTCATAATCTTTATATAAACAAAAGATACATGCTACCATATACGCATTTGGTTTTCAAATAGAAGATCATTGATGAGTCATCCATGGTGACGTTGCGAAGTCCCACCCTCATCGGCTCGCTCAAACAAACATGGCGCTTGTAGGCCAGGGAATAACAGGAACTGCACAGTTAGAAGAATCGAAAGATGAAACTGACAATCAGAGTGTTTGGTATAGACTATTTGAAAATTATAACAATTATCGAACTTTATTAGATTATGGTAATATGTATACTTGTTTGACTACTACTTAGTGTTTTAGTTAGCATACTTAAGCTTATTTTATGTTTAGGAAAGTTAATAATTTAATTATATTTATAATTATATGAGTGATATTGACAATGAAACTCTGAAAATAACTTAATAAGTGTTGATACAACTTAGTACAATTAATACCAGTAGTATTACTATTAATATTACATTTAAGTTAAAGGGTAAATCAAGCCCAAATTTAATTTACATCGTGCGTAGGAATTCCGAATTGTATACGGCTTATGTACTAGTAGTAGTATTAGTAAGCGTAAATATTGTATTTATAAATTATAACCCTAATTTCTAAGTTTATCCCAATTGCTATATGAGTTACCACTTACTTAGAAGTTAAGAATGTGAAAATCTGAAATTATATATAATGTTGAACGAACATTTTCGTAACGTTATTATAGTATATAGGACTAATGCAATTAGTAATGTCAATTAATAGTAATATTAAGCTGGTATACTAAATCGACTTAGTACAGTTTACACTAATTTGATATACGTAATTCCAAATTAAGTCCTAAAAATAACAATGTATATTAACAGGTGAACTTCGATCCCACCATACTTATTGCTGTCTAATGTAGTAAGTATAATAGACAAAATTTATAACCACATGGCTGATGCTATTGTAGGTAGGCTTAGTGGTACTACTATTACTATTCTTTCTTTTTTTTCTTTTTCCCACTCATTTTATCAACATCCCAACATTTATTTTTACATATATTTTTTCACTTATTTTCTTTTTAAAAAAGTTCCATTCCTTATTACCCCCTATGGTATAAAATAACTTTCATTATAACAGGGCACTTTCATATCACTTGAAGTTTCAACTATTCTTGAAGTCACTAATGAATTAGAAGATTGGGTGATATTCTGTATGTGTCAGTAGTTATAAGTATGTTCAACAGTTATCCAACTTAGTTCTAGTTAACCATAAATAAAAACAAAAAGTATAGTTGAATGAGAATTTGTTTTAGTAATAACTGGGCTGACAGATTAGCATCTAGACATATGTTCTACTGTTTTGAAGCTAATAATCAGTTTAATATGTAATTTTAGATATAACTATTATCATTAATGTTTGGTTAACAGCAATTTCAGACATAAACCGAATCATTTGTGATATAAATATCAACTGAAAGCTAACAGTATACCATGTGAATCTGCTTTGAAACAGTTACCTCAAATAAATTCTGGTTATTACCTAGCACCCAAAAGTCAAAAACCTACCCTGGATACTAAAAAAACATTTTTACCTCCTTCAACTTAAAGATGTACTAAAATCCATTTTTACAGAAGTTCTTGTCATTTCTTTCAAAAAAAAAAAACTACATTCCCATTTAGTTCAAGATAAAGTCAACTTTAAGTCGACACCAGGTGGAAGTCATCCTTGCAATAGCAAGCAATGCCAAACCTGTAAGTTCATGCAGGAAATAGACATATTTTCTGATAAAGACAATTAAAAGTAGTTCAAAATCATTAAACCTATAACCTGCTCTACAAAAAATGTTATTTACTTAATTTGATGCCAAAAACGCAACTTCCAAAATAACTATATGGGAATGTTTAGATAACCGCAAATCAACAATCAAAACAAAGAACTTCCGGTCGCAAAACACTTTAACATGACTGGACACTCTCTTGAAGATGTTAAACTTGCAGGTGTAGAAACAAATTTTGCATCTAACAGAAACAGGGAAATTAAAGAAGCTTACTGGATAGCACTATTAAATACTGTAATGCCAAATGGCATAAATCTTGATCCTGGAATTTTTTACCTTTGTATGTCTCTGAAAAGATTTTCAAAACTAAATTTGTAATTAAACTCTACATTATTAATATTATTCATGCTTTAATTTCTCTATATTGGTATTATTTCCAATATATTGCACCACATTATCATTTTCTCTATTTCGCACCACCTTTTGCCATTATTTTATTTTTAATTTTATATTTATAAAAATTGGTTAAACTATTATCACGCTTAAGTCTTTTATGTACTGTATACACCTCTTTGGCACAAACTAAACCACACACCAACAACTCTAGGTTATGATTGGCTAGTTCTCAAGGCTAACTCATATTGAACATCCAGTTTATGTGACTTCGACATCTTTGCCTATATATTTCGTTACACTCATTAAACATAACCCTTTATTCTCCTGAAAAAGAATATGTACTATTGAAAAGCACTCGGGTTTTGGGTCTCGATTGGAAACCATTACAACTTTTGTATGTGATACTGTGTGCTAACTTCTTAATCAGAACTGAAAGATTATATTGAGATAAAGCCAAATAGAAGGATAAAAATATATAACCATAATTTTTTTAACATATTAAGTGCATTAATTCTAGAAATTCTAACTCTACTATTGGAATAAATGATTTCAAACATTAATATGTGAAACTTAATTCTTTCAGAATAATCTTCTACACTTTTAATTAGTACAGATATGACTTGAATTCTTCACAATTTACTATAAAAACTATCTAACAAAAAGACCTATTTCTGTCTTCCCTTTTTTAGTTTTTTTTGAGTGATGCGAACTAAAATTTTTACCTAAATGGTTTGCAGTAATGCACATGCCAACAATAATCAACATGTACTTGGTATCCAGTGTTTTAACTTGCCTTGATAATATCTGTGTCTAAGCTTTTCCCTTAGTATATCTGATAAGATAAAACAGAAATTGGCAGTAGATTAATTGTTGTGTTTAACAGCCTGTATAATCACCTAGGTTTTATTACCAATTGTATCCTAATTTTTTGTTACTGTTATTAGATTTAATGTATATTCTATATTTTGAGTGATTTTTTTCCCATCATCTTCAAGTCCTGAGGACTGTATGTGATGATAGGAGTGGGTATTCAGTTCTGGGTCATGTAGTTAAAGAGGAAAGTATGCTGTCTATTAAACATTCACCTCAATGGAGTTTGGATCAATGGACTATTTGAATGGTTTCAAGAAGGGTACCCAGTTTTTGCTGGCTTCTGTGGCAGGTTGATTGAGTGTGTTATCAGTTAGTTGGAAGTAGAGGACAGTAAACTGACAGAGACTTGTTATCCTCGTATATCAAATCTTTAAGAAAATATGTTTTGATGACTATATTTTGATAACAAAACTGTCTTTTTTAATTAATTTTATGCCATATTACTTTCTAAGATGAAGTAGTTTATCTCATTCTTCTTGGAAGAGTTAGGTCTCAATCAGGGCTGTTATTGGCCCTATTATGAACTTCAATCACTGGAACACATATGTTAGTCTGGAATGTGGCAACTATAAAAACACCTTTTTTTAAACTTGTTAAGATGTTATTAAGGGAAAGTCTGAGGAAGAAACACATGCATGAAATCACAACGTTATTCCTGTAACCCACAAAAAGTACAATTATAGCAAGCATAAAGCATAGATGTAATGTGAAATGTGACATCAGTCCACTGACACAGAGTTTCTGGACACTTTCAAGATCACATCACCAGTACAGCAGTGTGAAACAGTAGTGCTGATGACACTGACTAAAGTTCTAGTGACTGCATAACATAGACATTGTGAATCTGAACATTTTTACATCCTCAGACATATCTGCTGGTCAAAATTAAAAAGAACATAGTATAAATATTAAATGTCACAGTATTATGAGTGTCACGATATATATGATATTACAGTATATGTAAATATTAGATGTCATAGTTGCTAAGTTTCTCTGCATTCATGATGAAATATTTATTGTCCTTATGTTATGAGCAATTATATGAACCACAATCATTTTTATATATGATATGTCTTTTGTTCCATTACATACAATGTAAAAATATGATAGTGATACATGCATGTACTCTGCTAAAGTTGAGCCATTTGTTTGTAAATGACTGATTTTGAGTGGAAATCAATGCAGTAATCATAATATGCACTCCATGTCGACAAACATGTTGCATAAACCTTCTTATTGACTTATTGAGAAGTAGGCTGGTACCACGACTACCACAAGCACCAGTTACTGTTTTCTTTCTCAGAACTTATTGTTCACTGGATTTTAGGGCCAAAAATGGCCCTTAAGCTGACTCTACCTTTCTGGTGGTAAGTCACTTATAAAAAATAAATAAATGTAACTACCTTTAAGAAAAACTTTTCTCTTGGGTTACACATTTGCAGTCCCACATGTGTTCACTCTTGCTGTTGCAACAATACTGTAATTGAGGGTGAATGAAGGGGGAACATTATTCCCATTGTTAAAATAAATATACATTTTTTCCCCCTTGTTAATAAATTCTCATGCATGGTTGGAATGTTTCAAGTGTGAGATTTCACCGATTCACACTTTGCCTCAATGGAAACATATATAGCTGTAGTCATACCACTTCTCCCTGTGCCAAATGTCCAACAATGGACACTATTGATAGCATGCATTATCAATCAATAAATTTGAGGGTTCAAATTTGTGAGGGTGGGAATGCAACTGGTAAGGAAAAAGTAACTGCCGTATTTTTCGGAATATAAGA